GATATTTCGCTGCATGTGCTGCCGTCAACAAAGTGAGGCACGCATTTAGCCAATAGTTTCCAATTTATGTGTAAGTTTCTTACAAATATCGAAAAATGTTAAGGCCCTAGATTCGGGGCTGGATATTACGTCAGCTGAATGGATGGCAAAAGCCACTGAGGCCGATGTGGATAAGGTCTTCAAGTCTGATGGCGGTATGTTCTTACTCTTCCTAAGAAATCCTCTGACGGAAAGCCTTGGGAGCGGCTTCTTATTCGTTCTCAATTTTCCACTGTCTCATGGGTTTCCTTCAGGCTACTCTATCCCATTACTGAAAGAACGAGTCAAGGCCATCAATGAATCAGGGAGAGTGCTGCTCGAGGTAAGACCTCTAGCGGCGATATAACTGGCTCTCGTCAACTATAGGTCCCCCAGCTATGTGCTATCTCCTATGAATTTGTGCCCCTTTTCCTGGATCTTTGTTTCCTAAACAGATTCCATTTTTTTTTCTCCAGAAATGGCATGGCTCTTTCTACAACTGCATCTCGAAAGCAAATGGAAGTGCAGCTAAGCTGCTTGAACTCATTGTAGAAAACTTCGAATCATTCAGAGATTTTGCCATATTCTGCGGTCAAAAAGGTGATCAACCTCGTTTCCTTTTTCGATCATGGTGCTTTTTCTTCATGCCGAGTCTGATCCACTTTGATAAGCTGAAACATTTCCAGTGTCCTTTCTGAAACGCGCTCAAATTCTGGTAGCAGACGTTTACGGCGCCTTACATACGGACGATCCTGCTTGTGATTTCAAAGATATAGGGTTAGCTTTAGAATTTTCTGAGGCTACACCTCCATCGATTCACCTTCGTTATTCAGAATTCTGACCATGTTTGCTGACTACCGTGTACCACAAGCCCTTGCTTACTTGGGTGCACTGGAGTATTCACCTGAATTGGTCAAGTTGCTAAAATCAGGTCAACTGCTTCCAAACGGTAGTGCCGAAGAGGTCGAGTTACGTGGAGCGTCCATATGGGTGTGTGAGGTATGGAATTCTCGACTGTTATCGACTGTTGAACTTATAACGTCTATTGTTAGTTCGACGATTGGAGGGCATGTCTTTACAACGCCTTCGACGATTCGTTTTGTATTTGATTGGAGGCTAACGCCAGAGGATACTCTAATTCCTCGGTCGTACCGGTATTCTTTACAGCGAATTGTGTCTGCCATTAAAAAATTGCGTGCCGGGGAAGGCGACGTGACCAGGCCAGTCTACGCTATGGACGTCGATCTTTTCGCATGGGTTTATCGACGTAAGCATGCGGCTGAAATTGAAAAAGCGGTAAGTTACAAGGTTTCCTTATGATGAGCCTTACCTTACTATCACTTTTACCCAAGGTTAAGAAGGTGGTGAGTTCTCATGAGACTTAAACTCTTTCGTGGAATGGTATGGGGAAGAGTAAAAAGTACTGGTAGCGCCTTCAGTCAGTCCTGATTTCGTACTTTGCTTGAAGATCGTCGGCTGTACGCATTCCACATGTCTAGACTGATACTTTTTCAGGTCCCTTTTCATCGAACCCGTTGCATTTACTACTAGCCACATTAATGCAATAACCATTTCTATTTCTAGTCTTTTTTTTATTTGTTATGGGAGTTGCGAGCTTCCATGCTACTGCAATAATTCTGTGTTGTGCAATTACAGCTTCAGTAAGCCGATGTTTCTCTGCATACGTGACTTATAGAGCCTTCGTGTTAAATTGTTTGGTTTTTTAGGAACATTACAGTTTAGTTCACTTGTTTTGTTGTTTTTAACTTTGATTGTTTATATTATTGTTTGCTAATCATTCCATTGTGAGCTTTCTAAAGTGCCTATAGTCGTTAGATCAAATGTTAGAAATAAATACTTTGCAATGATGGACCTGGAGGCACTTTACAGCATTTTCGAACGTATTGCACGATTATCTTGGAAATGTTGGATTTCTTACACGTTGAGTGTATATTGTCTTTAGGGTTGAGGATGTTTAAGAAGTTTGATGACAAAGAAGACATAACGGGAGCAACCCAATTAAAGTCGTCTATTCAGGCATGTTTTTTACTTATTGAACTTGATATTTTGTTTCTTCCAGTCTTATGTTTCGTTCAGCTACTTACTTTCTCATTGAAGACTCTATTTTGAATAGACTATCTTAATCATTCGTTTTCAGAAGGGAATTAGGAACAAAATCATTGAAACTTATCCCCACATCGAGCCTTTCTTAGCAGATATTCTACCAAAGAAGGTATTACATTATTATTACTCTTTCTTGACATTACTTTTTTGTTGCTTTACGAAAAGATTCTGGGCTGCAAATTACCCACTATGGAATGTTGTTATTGAATACTCCTGTACATCCGGTTTTTGCTATTATTGAGGGCACTCACGTAAGACTGTCTAGATCCCATTAGAAATGATTTTCTGTATTTTACTCCTTTGTTACTTCGTTTATAATACTAGGCTTGTCCTTCGAAGATTTCTCATTTTTCCTTGCAATGCCTGTAGGGCTTTTCTTTTTGATTCACAAGTTTGCTTAATACAGATCCTTTTAGGAAAACTTCAAGCTGATAAAATGTAAAGATCATGTTGAGCTATTGACTGATCATAACGGTGTTGTACAGTTTCTGAAGACCAGGAATACTGAATGGGTTCCTACTTTGCGACTACTTCATAAATACCCCTTTATTATGCCTCATCAACAGGTTAGAAAACTTTACTATTCTATACTTCAATGGCTTTCTCTTCTTGACAGTCGGGCTCCCTAATGCTTACCTCTCTTGGGTTAAGTGAGAAACATATGAGGGCCTTTAAGTAGAAGTTACCGCTCGAAGATTCTGTCACATTGAGGTCAGATTGAAAGTGTGGCGTTACTAATTTTCAAAAATAAATATTCACCCTATGTGAATATTTATTTTTGAAAATTACGGTAGTTTACTTGAATGATGCTTGGGAACTGCCCAGTATCTAGAAGCTCTACATCTGCTGAAGTATTAGAACTGATCCATATGGCTTGCAGGTTGACAAGGGTGCCATTAAATTTGTCCTCAATGGATCGTCCATTATGTGTCCTGGATTGACATCTCCTGGTGCAAAGATGACACCGGGTGTTCCTGCGAATGCAGTCGTAGCCGTGATGGCCGAGGTGATCCTTTTTTTCGTTAACTACTCAGTTGCCAATTATCCTTATCAATAACTTTTCTTCTAATCGTTATTTTTGTCCCATGGGTTAAATTTGTCGTTTTTATTTATTTCCCGTATTTCTGCTTATGATTTCTATTTTAAGGGCAAGCAACACGCCTTGGCAATCGGACAGATGAAAATGAGTTCAGAAGAGATTCAGTCGGTGAATAAAGGAATAGGTATTGATAATATTCATTATTTGACCGATGGTCTCTGGAGAATAGCAGAGAAACCAATAAATTAATGAGGATTCGATTCTTGTTCTTTCATGGTCTGCATACGTGTTTCCAGAATTATGTAGGCTGGCATGATTACATCCTTTGTTGTTTGTTCTCTGTTCTATGATTTCCTTTTTATTACTCTCCTTTGCAGACGCGGTCATTTTTATTAAATCTTAATTTTATTGGCTTTTTCATGGTTGTTTGATAAAGTGCTGCCAGAAACCTGTTGAAATAGGGACCGATCATTTGCCAGCAGAGAGGACTTGAGCTTTCGTTCACACCGCTAACACTGTGCTCGTCCACTACACCACAGCCTTAACCAACAGTGCATTCACAGGAATTCACTCCTCCATACAATGGTAGTTCAACTGTTTTCTATAGCGGAAATCAAGTGGCATATATACATATAGTGGAATTGATGATTATGGGGTCGGAATGACTAATGGGGTATGGGGATATCACTTCTACCCGAGCCAGTCAGGTTTCATAGTAATGTACTGACCGGAGAGTGTGTAACGAAAGTGCATGTTTGACTTGACTCAAAACAAAGCTTTTTCTCTACTACATCAAGAGTATAGTAACTCGAGCACGGAAAACTGCATTGTCTGAAACAAATCAACGAAATCTAACATCCAACAAAAACTTATTCGCGACTGAATAGAAAAAAGGGCGAAGTTAGCCACATAGCCTAGACCACTTTCGAGCGAGACCTGGTGAAAAAAAAATGAGACAGAGGCCACCAAATCGTCAGGCCTCTTCGTTGAAGTTCTGGATGGAAGTAGTGGTAGTCCAAAAACACTCTCCCAAGCAAATCGGTTTTATTGGATTCACATGCACAGGGACAAGTAATGAAGATATCACTAGCGCCTGATCGAGCAAATCGATGGTCAACGACGGGGGACACATGTGATATAGGCAGTGAGAAAGTAAAGGAAAATTCTGCTGAGGCATCCGAGCCTTTCTCACCAGCCCTGGAAGACCGCTCTAGAAGTACTCACAATTATGTGACAGGAGCGAGAGTACCACCGCACTCTCGCTCCTGCCACTGACTTCCCACCCATAAACGTTAAGATGAGTAAAGTTATGATTCTGCTTGAAATATCGTTCTTCAATTTGGGTGAGATCAGTATATAAGTAAGCAAGGGTAGTGAGCAGACTGAGCTCCGCCACAACCGGACGTATACGGTATGGGATACATGACTTCTGAGACAACCCAAGTTAACGATCCAAAACTGTCGGGACAGAGCTTTCCAGAAGCTACAGATTGCACTTTCGCTTTTAGAATACAATGATAGATGTAGCTGACTCATAGCGGAAAGTGGAAAAAACGCGAAAATGGGAGAGCCAAAGCGACGAGCTCGAGGCTACAATGACAGTTGTAGCTGATTCATAG